ATCTATCTATCTATCTAGGTGGATGTTTGTACTGCAGTGTTTCAGGCTCACATGGGTGGGGGTTAACTTTCAGTTGCAATATACGGCAACACTAAAGGCTGAAATAAAAAATTCTGCAAAACGTTGCAAAGACAACTTGAGTGTCTTGAACGCAGCCCGCTCGGATTACTACAGTAACAACATAACACTCCGGTTGCTTTCATTTTTTTCTTCCTCTTCTTCTCGTCTCGCGATAGAGCGGCGGAGTGGTTTGACGGGCAGTCGAGGTTGCAGCAGGCAGAGGGAGACGGTGGAAGGTAAAGCAGGGAGGCAGCATCATGGCGGACAGAGACAGTGGCAGTGACCACGGAGGGCCCACCGCAGGCCCCGGCTCGCTGCCCCCGGGTGCGATGGGCGCCATGTCCCGGCTGCAGCACGACACCGAGGAGCTCGCCTCCAAGCGCGTCGACATCCAGAACAAGCGCTTCTACCTTGACGTGAAGCAGAATGTTAAAGGCCGCTTCCTAAAGATAGCCGAGGTCGGTGCTGGGGGAAACAAGAGCCGCCTCACTCTCTCCATGTCGGTTGCCGTGGAGTTCCGCGATTATCTCGGGGACTTTATCGAACATTACGCCCAGCTGGGCCCGACCAACCCGGACATGGTGCAGGATGAGCCCCGGCGGGCGCTCAAGAGCGAATTCCTGGTGCGAGAGAATCGGAAATATTACATGGATCTGAAAGAGAACCAGAGGGGGCGGTTCCTGAGGATCCGACAGACCGTTAATCGGGGGCCCGGCTTGGGAAGCGCGCAAGGCCAGACCATCGCTCTGCCGGCGCAGGGTCTCATCGAGTTCCGCGACGCTTTGGCCAAACTCATCGACGACTACGGCGTGGACGAGGAGCCGGCGGAGCTCCCGGAGGGCACCTCGCTCACGGTCGACAACAAGCGTTTCTTCTTTGACGTGGGCTCCAATAAGTACGGGGTCTTCATGCGGGTCAGCGAGGTGAAGCCCACGTACCGGAACTCCATCACGGTTCCGTGCAAAGTGTGGTCCAAATTCGGCAACACCTTCTGTAAATATGCGGAGGAAATGAGGAAGATCCAGGAGAGGAGTAGAGAGAAACGGGCCTCCGAACTGGTACCTGAGGGCCCGCACGGCGGAGACGACGGCGACGATGACTGACGCGGATTTTGTAAGAGAGCAGAAATGAAACAACAAAGACAAAACTGAACTCTTGAGAGAAAAACGAGACTTTTAACTGTAAAATAGAAAGAGAAATTTCCAAGGGAATCACCCCACACGCACAACCTCCACAGACATGGCAGCACCTCTGCTCTCTCCTCGCTCATTTTACTGGATGTCACCCCACTTACCACCCATGTAACAGTAAGCTGCTGCTATCAAGGATTGAACTGTAAGATATGAACTGTTTCCAACTTGATTTAAATGACAATGAACAGAGTGTTTATATCTCTATCAAACGACAGATTTTGCACACATCAAAGCTATTTCGAGAAGAAAAGAAAAAAAAATGTTTAAATGTTTTCAAACTGGTCATATGCTAAGATTTAATCAAACATAAAACCAGAGGTCTATTATATAAAATGACAGTCTTCATGTAGAACGAATATTTGACATCAGCACAAAGAGAATATATTATGGACTTTATGAAACCAAAATCTGATACCAGATGTATAGTTTATTATAAAGGTACGCAGAATAAATATGAAAGCGCTCT